CTGTACGGTTGAAGTGAGGAGGAGAAATTCCCCAGATATCGTCTGCTCTTAAATTTCCCCGGCAGGTGAGAAAAAGAGAGAGGATATATATTATCTTTTTCACGGTTCCAGACTTGGCGCACATACATGTAGATAGCATTTAATCTAGCAACGAATTTAATCGACCTGGCATATCAGTAGGCAATATGCTCGAGGAGATAATAAGCCGACCGGGCTAAAATGACCTCTCCAGATCCGAGCGCACTTCATCCTGCTCGATTGGCTCTGTCATGATATTGAATTTCTACGAAGTCGGCGAGATTCCTCATGCACGATCTCACATGAGCCGAATTGAACCGAGCAAGTGCGAGATGCAAAGTGAATGAGTGCATGCGCGATCCAGAAGATGAAGATACGTGGTTACTGCAATCTGTTACTCACCTCTTGATTTTGGGGCCATTCAGACCATGAGCTTGAACACGAAGTACAGAAGAAATCCTACAGTTTCTTCGACCAATAATTGGAGCGAAGCGGCTAAGTTTAAGTGTCCGAAATCCAAGGCAGTCGATTCCCCCTTCAAAAATGGCATCATTCCATCGCTCTCGTTGACGACTGCCAGCTGCTCTCGAGGCATGAGATCTCATCCTGATCAAATATACCTCGTACTTTCTTGCAGAAGGAAGAGACTGCGTCCGGTCAGCCGGTGACATGGATGAACCTGGATCAAGAGAGCTCGGGGAGAGACGGGATGAGAGGGTCTCCCGTTTCCAGGTTTTACGACTTTCGCAGAGAGTGAAGGAAGAGTCGGCTCATGTCCGAAACGTCTGTATTACTGGTCCTTGGGTAAGTTCGCTGTCTTTCCGCGTCTCGTAATTTCAAGACTCTCAAGACTTTGACTGAGCATCCGAGAAGAGAGGCTGTGCACTTGCATCTGGCTTTATTACAGTACCAAGCCATTTGACGTCGCTTCAAGCTCACTTGCATCGAAGTGGTCCTGTTGAAACTATCGAAACTCTTCACCGACTTGTCTCTCTCGAGCAAATCAGCATGGAGATGTTTCTTTCTTATTTCTTTTTCCCTATTCCCTGGCTCTCTCATCTTGAGGATCTCGGGAAGGTGGAGTTTCGGAGAAGAGAAAATGAGGGCTTTCGCATGGTCAGCGACTTTCTCTCTTTGGCCGTCTCTGACGTGTTCCTTTCCCCACCGGACATGGATCTTGCTGCGAGAATTACGAAGAGATGAAGCTGATGAGAAGCCCAGTGCGAAGGTCCTGCATCGAGTATAAGAAGGAGCAAGAGTACATTCTCCTTCATCCACGGTCCGCTTACAAGCCTGCCTTAGTGCGCACTAATCCAGGCACAAGCGCGCTATTGCGAACGCTACAGTTGGGCTAAAAACAGAAAGTGAGAAACTGCGACTTGATCGGGCTTCTCCATCAATCCCTCCAGTGGAGAATGCGGAGTGGACACCGGGTTTCTCCTCCCAATTTCCTGACCTCCGGAATAACCACTCCAGTGAGACGAATCGCACTCAAGAAACGGAGGTCTTGATCAACAACGAGAGAGAAATTGTTTCTCGGTGCTCTTGCTCAGAACAAGGAGCTCCCATCTAAAATCACCCGATTCGGACATGTTTACGCGCAAGCTCCCTCACCGCGTGCTACAGTCACAACAACGCGTCCCAAAGTCTGTGTGTCGACATATAATCTGTGATCATCATCTCGCTTTCCCGCCCCGGGCTCTCAAGCCTTTTTTTCGTTTCCCCTTTGGAGCTTGGGAAGGCAGACCTGTAACTCTCCATTCTGTTCGCTCGGACGGTCGACGGCGCCGGACATTTCCACCCATGTGTCCGTGTCCTTCTTGCCGGCATGAACGAGAGTCTCAGAAAGGACTGTTGCGCCCCCAAAATGGGGCGTTGGGGCACCGATTTCCGGATCTAGGTCCGCATGAAGTTTAGCTTCGTTCTAAACTTCGATGAACATCGTTGAAGCTTCTTACTCTTTGTGGACTGGGAGCGGGCGATCTCCACAACGCTATGTTTCGGCTTTTTTCTTCCTTTATCTCTTTCTTCATTTGCCCTAAAGGCTTTTTCCACCCTGTACATATATAGGTCTGTTTACTTGCGCAACCATTGTTTACTCTGCTTTGTACTTTTGCTGAGCGACGAGTGAGACTCGAAATAAAATGCTCTGGTTAATAGTTTGTTCTTTTCAAGGACACTACTTGATACATACTGACCTAAATGTGAAGCGAACATTGCTCTGAGCCAGGCGTATACACGGACGACAAGTTCTAGAAGAGAGGCGTCATTCCTGCCGCCGTGAGGATTAAGATGAAGGGGAGGCGCAGGATCGAGGCAGTACTGGTGGCCAGCTGGATCTATCCTTGCGAGCCACAAGAGAGCTCCCAGCGTTGTGTCGAGCACAGTGATCATCTCAGCTTGTTGTATTTACCGATGGTGACAGTGCTGGTTCTACTGTGGTGCTCCAGTCACAAAAGTGCTCTCTGCCTAAGACTCGGGTCTGCGAAGTGAGATTGCCGCTCCCAGATTCCAGGGTCCATCCCATCTCAAGACCCAAGTATTACACAAACGCGTCCCAAAGTTTAGACGAGACACGATGACGAGCAGCAAAGTGGCTTCAGCCCATTCTCCATTCTTCCACATCTACAGTGTTATTTTCGTTTTCGTCATTGTATGTCGCAATGCTCTCTTGCTTTTCTCGAGGAATCAATAGCTTCTCTCAAGTTTCTCCACTCAAACCCTGAAGAAAATGGGGCAGTTTGATGAGGATACGGACTCGAGAGAGACATTTCTTTTTCCGGGTCGCCAGGCCCACATCAGGCTTTGACTCTCAAGTGAAATATCACACACATTGATCCCAAAGATCGCATTGCTTGTCTTGTGTGTATATATTCTGCAGTAATATAACATTTCGTCCAATCGCGGCGTGGCTCACTTCCCAGAAACTGCAACATCACGACGCGTCGACTTCACCAGCCAACAAGAAGAAGCAAAGCAGATGAAAAGAAGCGCACTGAAGAAAGGAGAAAAAAAAAAAAAAAAAAAAGGTAAATTTTTATTCATGATCTTCGACAAGGATCATATCCACGATCTCCCTTGGACCTCGCTCTTTCTCTGATACCCCGCAAGCGCATCAATTGGGCTTGGTTCGACCCCCTCATCTCGAGAACTTGTTCTTGTTTCTTGTCCCCTCCATTTCGGCATTGTGTCTTTCGCTTTCCTAATTTCCTTTCCTCTTGTTCTCTTTGGCGGAACAGGGCCGAGGAATTAACTGGGCTGAAATAAACTAGCATGATGCTAGGCCAGGCCAGACTCGGCTGGCGCAGAGTCTAGTAGGGTGGACCCGATGCAACGGCAAAATCTATCTCCTTCCAGGCTCCACGACTTATGATTTTTTTTTTTTTTTTTTCGGATTCCTTCTTTTCCTTTTCTTTCCTTTTTTTGCCCTCCGTCATAAATGAATGATTATCAGGAAAGATGTCCCGGGATTGGCACCTCTTCCTACTTCGTAGTCTACTCCAATTCTCTCTTGCTTTCGCTGATTTCCTCCGCTCGAGGGCTGTGGAAACAGTAATACATTTGCGTAGACCGGCGCATCCGGGGTGGACCATGTCGTGATAAAATTAGACTCCACAACCAGGCTCCCAGTTGAAGGCCTCCAGCATCTTGTCAGCCCCAGTCGACGCTGCTAGCGATTACGCCGATCTGACTGGGATCTCGTCGCCGACCTGGTCCTTCATGTACTGATCTGGGTTCTAGTAGGCTTCAAGGTACCTGTGTAATCCCCACGCCAATATCAAGTAGCGTTTCCGGATCGGAAATAAAATTCGGGTCCTCGACGTGGCCTGGACAGATTCGGGAGTGGAGCCTGAGATATCGTTAACATTTTCATCTCTCCCTGCTCCTTCCTTTTTCTCCAGCTTATTTTCTTTTCTTTTTTAGAATTTTTCTTGATTTTGAACGTCGGTCAACGTTTATACTTGCACTTCGCGGAGAATTCCAATCCCAGTAGATGTGGCTGACTCCAAGCTTCCAGAAGAAAAGCTCGGATATATGGGCCAACTTGTGATCTTCAATGAGTGGCATTCTTCGCTCCACCTCTAAGTCAGGACTAAATGGCCTGGCCCACTTGATGAAGGTTTCACTAGAAAAAAAAATTAAAGAAAAAAAATTCAACACAATTTCAATTCAATACCCCCCGATGAAGAGTCTGCCAGAATCCACCCAAAGTCAACATACTGTGTAAACACGCTCCGTTTGCCAGGCAACCTGGGCGGTGTCCACAATCTCCAAGTCAGGATCCAAACCATCAATTCCTGCGTTTTCACCTCCTGTACGAAGTAGCTACCTTCTATTTTGAGCCTCCCTAGCGACCTCGGTCTCACCGAACAGGGAAGCAAGGAAGGAAGCGCGGATGAGACAAGTGTCTCAAGTTGGATCTTGGTTGAACCCAGACCACCCTGCGATCCCTCCAGGCGTTCGCGCTGAGACAAGAGCCACAGGGCAAGGAATGTATGCGATGGAAGCTTCGTTGGATCCAAGGGCTGCTGGGATGTCTTGGAAGTGACCTCATCGAATGATCAAGGTTTGATCAGGGTTGTTTTTATATCGTAGGGGTGTTTGTTGGTCTAAGCGACGACTTCCACTTCAAGCCAGCTTCTCTTCATCAATTCAAGTAGATCCCATTCCTGATGACCCTGGAATACCCAAAGATGCATCACAAGACTGGAAAACTATGCATTGACAGATGCAAACAAAGCATGCCAACCATCCAATGCATTTTCATTCTAAAGGCTAAGACAAAGACGGAAACAAAAAAGCAAGGAACATTCTCCAAAGACAAAACGCCTCGTGTACCTCACTTCCCAGAGCCAACTCGAGCCAACTCCATTCCAGAACCACCACGACTGATCCAAGCACCTCCAAAACACTGATCCACGCCAACTCGGCAAAGGGCCTGTTTGTTGAGCATCGTCTCTGTTTACTCTGGAATGGTTTGTTTACTCCATGCTGTGAGATTTCCTCATTTGCATTCCCTTTCCGAGAATGGCCTCTGCGTCGGGCGTCTCTGAGTCTTCCTTTCCGTCCGCTGGAGGCTCTTCTACGGGAGGAGGTTCGTCCACGGGATCCTCTGGTTTTGAATCCTCTCCCTCGTCCGGGACCTTCTCACCAGTGCCTTCATCCGTCCCGGAGCCCTCTCCGCTATCATCACCAGTCCCATCCTCTCCTGGTTCCCCCTCACTGCCCCCCTCCCCTTCATCATCAACTGGCGGTTCCTCTTCAACCGCAGGCGGCGGCGGAGGCGGCGTCAACTCATCCACCCTACCCAACAACGCTCTCAACGCCACAGGATCAACAGCAACAGCCTTCCCATCCTCACCAACCTCAAACACAATCTCATCCAACGTTCTCGCCGCCCAAAGATTCGAAGAAGCCGACAACCAAGTCGCGCAGTCCGTCGAAAATAGTCTATTCTCCCTCGCCGGACTGTCCGCGTCCTCAAACGTCGCTTTAAACGCTATCCTCTTCTTCACTTCCCTATCCTCTTTGACCGTCTCCAGACCAGCGGGGTATAATCTTATCCGTGGGTTCACGGGCCCGCGTGTCGAAAGCTGAAGTAGAATAGCCACTGTAGCCATGTCCGTTCCGTTGCTTATCCAGCGCTCTACTTTCAAGCCCGGATCATCATCCACCGTAATCACCATGGATGAATTAAGAGTAGTAACGTTCCCGAATTCGTAGTTCCCCGCAAAATTCTCTCGCGCCTGCTCCCTTGACACGTTATGAATAGCGGGTAAGAGCGTAGCGCCAATGACATCCGCAAAGTCAAAGTTCATGTTCCCTGGCATATTGCCCGCCGTAAGGAGAGTGAAGCCCACGCCGTAGTCGGGCAGCATGATAATGAGGGCTGAGTAGTCGCCGATACGGCCGGCCTTTTGGTAGCCGTAGGTCCAAAGGTAGGGGTGGCCCATGTTGATGCGGCGGATGCCCCACGGCTTGCCGAGGGCCGCCATGGGGTCGGACGTGAAGGTTACCGGGCGGAGCCAGCGGCGCGTCATTGCCGGTGGGAGGAGTTCGGAAGAGAGGATGGCTTTGTTGAGGCGGGTTATGTCGGCTGAGGAGGCGTACATGCTCCCAGAGCTGAAATGAACCGGATGTTAAAAATTGGAATAGATACACTTGCAAAGGTTATCTGGGCTACTTACGGTCCGCCATCACCAAGTTGGTTATACCAGCCCACTTGAGAAGCGTTTCCTGGGATGACGCCAAGAGTCGTGTCGTTTGGAGTGTTGAAGAATGTTCTCTCGAGACTCAACGGCTCCAAAATATTGCTCGAAAGAAGAGTGATCCAATCCTTGCCTGTGATCTCTTCGAGGGCGTATGCTAGGAGGACATATGCCACGTTCGAGTAGGCCGGCGCCGCATCTGGAGCAAACACCGGCATCAAATCTTCAAGACCCTCAAAGAATTCTAATAGTCTCCATGTAAGCGTTTATTCATATATCAGTGGATTAGGGAGGGACAACGAGAGAGGCTCAGGAATCGTAAACCCAACTTACGAGTTCGATTGCATAGCACGAAGATCCCACATTCAGGCGTCTCTGGTAGTTTCTCTGGAGGAGGGAAACCCACATAGACCAAATCCGGGCCATAATCCTGCGTCAGTTCTCCCAAGAGCGAATCTGTTTCCCTGCCATGTTAGCCTGTAGTTCACTCCTGCGTGCCTATGAAATCGAACCCCGGCCTCTATGGACTTACAATCTCGAGGAATCCCCGACATCTGAGAAGCCAACGCCCCAACCGTCACAGCATCCCAATCCGTATATCGAATAGCATCCCCCTCCCCCCTACTCCTCTCCTGAATATCCTTCAGCTCCGGCACGAAATTCGTAATCGGCACAAACCAGTGCTCATCCCCCACCTCCGCCAACCACGTCAACACCGTAAAGATCTTCGTCACGCTCCCCAGCCTATACACTGTCGACCCGTCCACCTCCCGCGTGCCCGTCGAGTTGACGGCATCCAGGTTCATGGCGGCATGATAGTGCGACCACAGCAGGGCGGTCGGCTCGGCGTTCTCGTGGATGGACCATGCTTCGAGGGACCACGAGTTGTTGGTCGCTATTAGGTTGGTCTCGTTGGCGGCGAGGTCATCGAAGCTTGCTGTTAGCTGTTGGGCGGCTTCGATGATGAGGGGGTGGGAGGAGAGATCGGTTGGTTTGGGGTAGGCGGGGCCGCGGAGGGCGCAGTTGGGGGATGCATGTGTGAGGGGGATGAGGCCCGCCGCGAGGAGGGCGGCGAGGTGCTGGGGTGGGCGCATGTCGGGAGGGTGGCACGGTTGGTTTCCGCACCGACGGGAAGGGAGAGAGGAAGGAAAGGAAAAGCGATAGTTCGAAGGGAGAGAACGGCTAGACCTGCCAGACAGCCAAGGTCCTACGAAGCGAACACCGCGATGGTTATAAGCCAATGGCGCAAGGGACTCGGTTGTGTTGTCCGCGTCATCACCCGCGATTCAAGAAGAGGAAGAAAAGGGAAGCAAGGCTCGCGACACCCAGGAAAACTCTCTCAAGAAGCGGCATCAATTTCTAGGAACCAAGCTTTACTAGAGTAGTTGCTTTGTACTGACGACCCTCTACATTGGATCCTTCCCTCGGCTCCGTATATACGCATTCGTCATCCTCCAGACAAAAAGAAATCCCAGGGTCCGCGGACTGGGGGTAAATTGGCACAGTTCATATACTATACCCAGAGAGAGAAATTCAACCTTCCAGTTCCAGAGACCAGGGCCGTTCCATGGCAAAGATGCCCGGAAAGAATCGGCAAGAGGCCCAAAAGGGGACAATCTCTGCGAAGGTTCACACATGATATTGTTTACTTAGGTCTTGGCCTTTATAGATCGTCGTCATGCTTGTCCCGGGATCACTGGACTAGATGTGGTGTTGGGCGGCGATCTCCTACTGGAAATTGGAAGCGGCAGGAGAAGGACACAGCGGGACTATATTTAGTGACAGGCTCATCAATTCATGGACGGGCAACTCATGAATACTAATCAAGGTTAGCCAATCTGAGGCTTCATAAGTACTCGAACCTCCTTTAACCCTTTCCAAGTATAGAATCCGGCGACGGGAGCGCAGATTGTCACTAGATCGAGTTAGAATTTCCCAGAATTTGTGGCCAGATGAGCGACGTGAAAGTGGAGTTATAATGCGGCGCGAGAAGGAGTATCCAACTCTACAATATGTAGTATATTGCGGATGATCTCTGCATCCAATAGGCTCGGTCTTTACTGAGGATGTGGTAAATGGATGAATGCGGGTCCTTGGATGATCAGCTGGGACGGGACCGAATCCGGCAGCCCGGATCAATTGGAGCTCACGTAGAAATATCTAAGCGGAACTGAGCCGGGCACGAGAACGGACAGGAAGATGCGCCGGGTACCCATGAGTTGGGGCTTGGGGACTACGGAATAGAATTGAGATCTTCACAGAATATAATTGCATTTCGTATAAGTAGCAATACTCGAGCTCATACACACATATATATATATATATATAACAAAGCAGAGTATGATAAGATATCCTAACGGCCGGTTTACCGTGACAGCGAGAAACCGGGTTTCGGGTATCCAAGCCCGGCCTTACTTCCTCGCCGGTTCCGAGATAACGTGCTGAGAGACAAAGCCGCGGAGGAGGAAAGGAGTGGAGGGAGCATGCTAGCTGACTTAACAGGGCTCATGGAAATGTCGTGGCTATTGTCCTGAGCAGAATGACTGCCCTGTCCTGTAGCGAACGAAGCGACCATGACCTGAAGGAAAAGATGTGAGGAAGAAATTGGCGCTTGACGTTTACTTACTTCTTCCACAATGCGAACGTGGTGCGACGGAAGTGATGAGTTGCTAACCTGAAAGGATTCATAAGGATTGGGTAATACTGATCTTCTGTCCTAAGAAAGAAGAAGGAAAATGAGAGAAAAGGAAAAGAGCATTAGATCGTACCCGTTGGATCGCATGCATTCATACCGGGAACAGGCGTGGAACGGGACCGCATCTTCCGCGCCGAGGGGCCGAAGATACATCTGCCTCCAATTAATCCTCGGCCCCTGCACAATTCCGGTTGCCCGCAGCCCTGGTATCAAAGTTGCTGATAAGACTTGTATGTTTCTTACAGAGCTCAAGGTCGGATCAAGTCTGGACCTTGAGGATATCGGCAAAGGAGTTCTCGCGGCCGAAGCGAAAGGCTAGAACTCCTGCGCTGCAATGCGAGCGTGTGATTCCTCTATATTCAGTTTAAGTCTAGCCCTACTTTCTTTTACTTTCTCGTTCTTAAGGCCGGGCCTTTATTCGTATGCTGAGGCGGGCTGGATCAATTCTTATGACGAAATGGAAGCAGCAGTTGACGTGACGTGTGAAGGCACGGGTCGCTTTACGCGTAAATCGAAGGGCAGGGTATATGAAGCAAAAAAAGAAAGAGGAAGGAAAAGAGAGAACAGGGAGGAGGGGAGGGAATCAAATAGTAGAATTTCCGATCACTGGCTCATGCCACTCAGCGATACTGCTTGGGATGATTTTCGAGAATAGATGGAAGGGACAGTCAAGCTCGACGAGAAGCGCTAGCTATGTCACCAATTGACATTAGGTCGCTCAATGAACTGTTGTAAGGAGGGAACTGAAATATACCAGGTATCCTTATGTATCCGGCATCCAGACATTGTAAGGGAAACATATGAGAACAACAAAACGATGCAGAAGCGTTTATATCCGTCTACCACTAATGCAATTCTTCAACTCTACTCGTACAGGCAACAACATCTCAGCCGCTCAACCTCATTAAACAACACCCTTAGTTCCCTCCCACCGTCGTCGCCTTGGCTATCTTCAACCACTCTTGCGCCATGAGCTGATGATCCAAAAAGTCCGTCTTATTCCCCCTTTCCAACGCCGCAACCGCCAACTCGTTCTGCACCTCAGACACCTTGATGCACGCATTCCTATTTCCCCTGAGGGCATTGATGGTATGCTGGACCATGTCCGGAGGGAATCCGTCCTCGTAGGACAGCTCGTACCACGCGTCCAAGAGGTTGTGGTCATCTGCTGCCTGCTTAAAGTATCCCCACGCCGCGGGCTTGTTGCCTTCTTCGCGCATCAAGCGACCTAGTTCTAGGAGGCAGGCGGGCCGCCACTCGAAGGGCAAGGTAGGCGACTTTCCGTTCTCCAGGGCTTGGTTGAGGAGGTTCTTGGCGAGGGCCGTGTCGCCTTTGTAGACGGCGATCTTGCCGGCGACGGTGAGTGCGTCGGGATCGCCCCTCTCGATCATGGCGTTAAGACGCTCTTCTACCTCCTTTGGAAGATTGAAGGGGGTAGATTTGTTCATTGTGCTGATGCCTAGGGAGAGCCTCGTATATGTGAGGGTAGATCCATCGTGACCTTGGGATGAGGCATAGAGGAGCATGCGCAGGCAGAGGTCACGGTAGGCTATGCTATTCTCCGGAGGGGCGATGCGCTCTATGAATATGGCTGATTCATGGAACTGTTGCAAAGTTACACCGATTCCTACATGTCCTTCTTGTCAGTTTCAAGCAAAAGGGTGTGAAATCAGTGTTGAGGCAGGCTCACTGTCTAGCAGGTGAGGGTCCTCCGTATTGCCCCTTTGCTCTGCAGTAATCCATTCGACGATACACTTCCGGCAGAGCTTGACGTCCCCCCCTTGGATGTTTCGATCCCTAGCTATTTGCTCAAAGGTCTCCAGTGGCGGTACATCTACCGAGGACCTTCCCCTTCGTGGCTTGGCATATGCCCGAGTCTGTGGCGGCGCTGGTATCGCTGGAGATAATAGCCTGATGGGAAGAGATGAAAGGCGCGCTGCATATCTGCCTGTTAAAACGGGGCGGAGAGGCTGCGAAGTCCGCAGGAGAGAAACGCCTAGACGAGACATCTCTATGGAGCCCTCACTCTTGAAAGTGAGCTTTGGAGATGGGCTGCGTGAGTGTGATGGATGCTCTCAATTAGGCAATTGGCGGGCTATGAGACCTCAAACTCTGCTGTAATAAATCGCCGCAGTATATGGGAACTAATTTAATAGCGAAAAGGTGAGCAATAGCAAGTGGCCCATTCAATGCGGGCTAAGGAAGAAGCGAAATGCTGGCGAACCGTGAGGTCTGCTGGCTCGTGAGATGAAGCGCTCAAGTTTCGGTGTCGGAATCGCCTGAGAGAGAAGTACCGATTATTATTGGCTGCGTTGTGGGAAGGAACCCATATGATAAGGACTCACCGACTTATCGCACACCAAAAATTTGAACCAGCAAAATCGAAATTTCAATCCCACCACCACACAAATCACTACGTCTACTCTCTTCTGCGAAACCACGTAAAGTGCTGATCTTTAGAATCATCTCCTAAGTTCTTCTACGACCAGTCGCCGACATCTCACTCGGCCCCAAACCTCGACCACGACCAGGAATCCAGTTTCCCAACACCCATCCAACTCTCTCTCGACTCCCGCCTTTTCCTCGCCAATCCCCAACGCAACTATGGTGACCACTAGAAGCGGCACCAAGCGCAAGGCCATGGACAAAGTCGAACCCGCCGAACCCGCCACGAACGCCCCCAGCTCTACCCCCAAGCGACAACGGTTACCCCTCCGCAAGAAGAACGCCGAAGGAGCCACCGACTCTCCCGCTCCCAAGAAGGGCGCTGCGAAGAAGACGCCTTCGAAAAAGAAGCAGGCGGAAGATGCGCCTGCGGACAAGGAGGGCGAAGTCGTCGAGGATGCGGCTGTGAATGATGAAGATGGCGGGGACATAATGGCTGCGCTGCAGCGACAGCTCGCTGCTGCCCACCCAAGCCCGGCAGTATTGAAGAAGGCAGAAACGCCGGCGGTAGTGGCTACAAACCCCCAGGAATCAGATGAAGACTCGGATGATGAGGCGCCGGAGGCTATTTCCAACGTTCAGGCTGCCGAGGCGGCGAAGCAAGTTGCTCAAGCGTCACAAAAGGCAGCCCAACAGTATGTCATTACGTTTTGCCCTCCCTCGAAGGTCTATACCCTACAAGCCTTATTCTGGTGACTAACTACATTTTTCACAGACAAGCCGCACAAGCCAAGAAGAAGCGTCAGGAGCGTGATGCTCTCTTCAAAGCCCAAGCCGAGTCCAGGAAGCAATCCAAACCCGAAGAGGAGAAACCCGCGGCCGCAGAACTCACCGCCCCCACAGAAACGCCTTCCGAGGACGTCGTGACCACCGAGGGAGAGACACAACAAGAACAACAAGTCACACAATCAGGCAAGGCGAAGCTCCCCGAGTTCCTCCCCCAAGAGTTCCTCGATTCAGACGATGACGAGGAGGCGTACCAGGGCGACCTCAGCAGCGTCGGCGGTGAACCGAAGCCCAAGAGGCGCAAGAGTGAGCAGAAGAAGGCGCCCCGGGATAAGAGGGTCGGGTCGACAGTTTACAGGGTCATGTCGGAGGTGGATAAGAGGTTGGCGCCGAGGAAGGCGAAGAGCTCGAATGAGGTAAAGGCGAGGTTGTTGAAGAGGAATAGGAGCGGAGTGCCGCAGCAGAAGGGGTTTATCGTGGGGAGGCCGATGCCTAAGCCGGATTGGGGAAGCTCGAGGAGGTGAGAGGGATGGATGGATGGATGATTGGGTGGATGTATGAAGTTGGGCGTTCAGAACTAATGATAGCTAGAGTACGTCGCCGACGTCGATGAATGGGACGTTCTGTTCTGTAAGGAAAGCCTTGATCATCACCATGCTAACCTCCGTCACTCCTCCTTAACCACCTGCCGTTGACTCGCTCTATTGACCTAGGTCTAAGCATATGATCGACTAACGGCTAGAGAGACTCTCAAGCTGACGCATAACGACTTCAGAGCAAGGAAGTAGACAGAGGATTTACGGTTTGATACGTTGAACACCAGGCCAACCTCCGCGCAGAGTAGAGTCGCGAAATCACAACAACTAACCCACCATTTCGCGACGCCCGCGCATATACTCATTGACCCTCTCTCGCACAACATCCATAGTTCGCCACTCCCCCCAAGATCGCGAAATTCTTAGAAACATGGAAGGAAATCAAAAATCAATATCAAATCAATATACCCGCCATTGTGTTACCGTGTTACCTGACCGCTCCATTATGCACCTTCCCGTCTCGGCAGAAGACGGAGTTTCTGACGGGATTCTCTCACCGAAGGATACACAGGGAAGATTGAGGCCCGGGGCACGGGAGCGGCTCGACGCCCCATGGCGGCCCCACGTGTCTGAATGGAGTGTCGCAAAGCGGCAGAAGAGTCTGTGGCTTGTGGTCCGCTCCGGTCCGGTCAGATAAAACGGCAGCTACCATGAGATTCGAGAGCACTGTGCTTCGTTGAGCTAGGCGGTGCCTCTATGTTTGGGTGCACCTCCCAGCTGAGAGCACCAATTATAGAGTGATGCGATGCGGTGGTCACTGAACCAGCTGTATCAGGTCGACTGCCGCTTCGCTTGAAGACAGGATATTAAGCGACAGGATGCTTTTTTTTTTTCTAACCCGGATCGCCATTTGAGCAGGAGTACGAAGTAATACGCACCATCAGCGTTCCATTTTCCTTTGCCCCGTACTTCGTTGGTGTGAGCGTTCAATTACTTCGTCGTTTACAAGTAGTATTGTGCACATACAAGAATGGTATAAACCAGCCCACAGGAATCTCCGATCGAACTTTGACCTCCAAGAGCTCCGTGAACCTAGGCGAGTGCTACCTAGCCTAGCTGATAGCTCCAGACTCCGCCTTGATCCCCCCTCACCTCACGACTTGACGACACATCTTGATTGCCATCTCCTACTTCGTACTCACACTGGCCACTCGGAACGTTGCCAAAGCATTGGACGCCCATGTTGCAACAGGGACGATTCTTCATGTTTCCCTGTTTTACCCACATCTCACATCAGAACTGCACATCAACTCCGTCCATCTCGGCCTCTTCACAGGGTCCCCTTCCACCTGTTGATATCGATCCTCTCTTTCCCCCCACAGTCAGACATGGCCCCATCGTGCCATGGGATCAAGATGAGCATACATACATACTTGTACTTATTAGGAACTGCATTGCCCCCACGTCGAAGAAGCAGTGATCCGTTGCGAAGCTAGGGTCCCTCCAGCCAAGGGGTTTGCAGAGCATCCTCCTGAGAAAAAATCCCGGCTCACTGGGTGAACTGTGCACATCTGTCACTCTGTCACTAACCCTGTCTGGCTAGTGTCCCCTTCTTGCTCCATAGCCGCAGACGCGAGGGCGACCCAAGGATAAAAACTCTCCACTCTGCTTGCCAAGGCAAGAGATACAAAGCAAACCAAGTAGCATCAATTGATGGAAGGCTGCGTGCTCTTGCCTGTGGTTCCAGTATCAGGAAAGCAGACGAAACATCAAACAAAAGAGGAGAAAAACAAAGAGGTTACATGAAGAAAAAGAAAAGACATTAAAAGGATCAACTCGCCGTTTACAACTCGGGTCTGCATAGCCTCCCTTCCGTTGCAGATTTAGTTCCTTTTTTCCTTTTCCTTCTTCCTTTTGACCTGGGAATCGTCAAGGGTATCGCTTACCCATGTCTATATCACTACTACTATACGTCGTAGATTCGCAAGAAACCCTTGAAAGAGAAACGCTCATCAACCATTCTCGGAACCGCTAGAAAATTTATGCAAGATGGAACAATGAAGGAATAAAAAAGAAGTTTTATTCATGTTTGAGGAGGGTCGCCGCAGCCAAACTTTTGGTACGAACGCGTCTGTTCCCTTTGTGCTCCTCGCACATCTACACATCTGTGCTGAGCATCCATGGAACAGATACTTCGTACCTACTCTTCTACGAAGTACACATTCAGAAATATTCCGAAACGGAACGATGTCGCCTTCACCACACTAGCAGGCCCCCGAAGCGACGGCCCCGAAACACAGTCGCCGGGCAGTGCTCGTTGAGAATCGGCCCAACCCCCTTCGATACGAGGACCTCGATGGCGAGATTCCCCTCCGAAGGATTAGGTGTATTATAGTGTTCTGCATCACACGGAAAGCCTTGCTCAACTATCCCAAGGAAAGGTGCATATTCTCGGAGAGTAATGAAAGGAACCCTGCACCACTACACTGCTAGATATAACGCCGACTCCATTCAGTGGAACAATCCACTTGGAATGAAGCGATCATGACTATCAACATCTTACCCCTCCGTGTAGTGGGACAAATATCACCGGTCCCCGGCACGCGGCCGGATTGGAGGACCCGCTCAAAGAGAACCTTGAAGAGTCTGAGAGGTTACCATCCGCTTGACCCCTTACAAGGCTCTGCTTCTCCCCTCTTTATGTTTCCCCGAATCCAATCGGACCACTTGTGAGGGGCTCCCGGACTATGGCGTGCCTCTGCGGTGCAACTCTACCTGTGGCCCTGCAGGTAATATTTTCAGTGTGTGTGTGTGTGTGAAAGTGTTAACCTTCCACCGGTCTTGATACGGCCTCATACTTGCAAGCATCAATCGTAGAAGTTGTACTTCTGGGCAACGGTCAGTCACACTGCAGCAGCAGCAACAACAAACGACTCGGCTAGGAAACCTTGCTTGTCGTCGCCCTCGCTTCTGCATGAAGTATGTGCGTGTAAGGGGCTTTTCAACGTTCTAAAAAATCCCCGAATGAAAGAGTGCGGGAAATATTGCCGTGCCCAACGGCATGGTAAGCTCGTTGTTCTCACCTAGCCCGGAATCCGTGTTCCGGGCTTTGGCAAGCTCGAAGCCCTTTGTTTGTGATAAATCGTAGAAATCCATGCCGTCTCCCCCGTCATCGTTTCATGGTGAATATCTCAGAGACGAGCAGGTTAGGAGAAAATACAGAATGTCTGATTCAAACACCAGAAAGTTCGAGAACATCCAATAACTGGGTGATCTCGCATTCCTCCTTCATTAAAGGACGAGCAAGCGTGACCGGGTTTTATGCTGGCAAATTTGACTTGTGAATGATCGACAAACATCTCGTCCGAAGTGATGAGAAATACAGGTAGAAAAAAGCGAAACATGTTGGCCGAAGAGATCTACCGTCGCCGGTGATCTCCAGGCCACAAAATGATCTCCATCCCCAGACTTGAAGTTCCAAACATCGCCGTTTTGTGTCATGGTGACTTGCTTCCTGCGTCCTGTGCCAGATAGTCGTGATTGGCAAAAGGGAAAATGGCAGGACCGGCAGAAAGGTGTCTCGTCACAATCGACGGGCGTGAAGACGGCTCCACATCTTCTGGTATGTGTGCGTCTGGTATAGCCGACCCAGCATCTAACGTCTCCGGAACCACACTCCTCGATACGACAGACCATAAACTTGGATGACCAGCCTGACCTCAGATGGAGAGAGCGTTGCTCGCCGTCCAAATGTGGGAAGTAAGAATGATGCACTTCTCCCATCACAGGAGCCTGCTTCGTTATGCTTGACAACAACATGAGAAGATATTGATGCCTGGGTATCGGTCAGCTAAGGGCGATGCCCACTGCCTACCTTAATGACGCTCTGGGTCAAGAACGATCTATGCTTTACCTCGTCATCCAAGTTTAAATTATGTGCATGGCTTGCGCCTACCTCGTGCACTTGCACTTGCAAGTTGCCCCGTCGTCGAGTACGAAGTATCTAGGAGACTCGGAAAGCAAGGATGAGGTCATCCCAAGTGCGAAGTATCCATACTTCGTACTTCGTAACAAGATCAGATCGAATGGATTGCGACCGGAGTCGTTGCATTGTCAAACCATGATACCAGGGCCTCCCTCGTCGCCAAGGGTCAACTTTTCGACCAGGAACTGGGATCCGTTCAGTAAACGTCTGCAAAGTGTATGTAGATACTTCGTCGACATGTCCTTCGGTTCCGAGATCCGGCTCGAAGCCGAACAAGAAGAAAAAAAAATTACTTCGTGGGACCAGCGGAAACGAAACATGAGACGAACCAAGATCCTTTGGGGCTTTGGCTGGCCCATCTGCGAGAGAGGACAGAGCACATTCTCGCCTTCCAGCTCTCACTTCTTCCTCGTACTTTGTAGGAGACCAAAAGACTCAGCCGCCATGCTGAGAAAATAAGGGGGCGGTCCCTTGTTCGTTTCTGTCAACGAAAGATTAGTGAGACTCCTCGCCGGATATCATCAGGGGATCCTGGCCTCGATTGCGGATATCGTGGGGCGCGATCCCACGTTGTCACTTCCGCTTGGTGCTCTAGTGCGACACTTCGCACATTTTTGAACCCCTTTCTCCAAGTGGAAAGCTGACCCTGGCAGGACGCAAGCAGCAGCGCTGCGGTACGAACACTCATCGCGACGTGCCATCGTGAGTGGATAAGAGTAAACCGTCTAATACAAACTAAGTTGTTTGTGCTCAGTTTATGCTTGACACTAACAACAACTAGCGCACCCAGGTAATTTGCTGAAAGACTTTTGACAGAAAGCGGCGTCGTCGCTATTGATAGCGCCATCGGGCAGCTTATTTGGTAGTGTACACTACGGAGGTTTTTGGGTGAAGCCCCCGAAAGAAGAATGCAAAGAACGCCGTGGCCACATGGCAACGGAGATTATTCCACATGCTTTGAGACGACGCTTTTGCTATCTGTGCGAGGTGTCTAACTGGATGA